TACCTTTAGTAAGTATATAACTCGGTTAAGGAGTGAGTGTAGCATCAGTGGACTCTGGATATCTGAGTGAAACACATCTATTGTACAGTGATTCTCAACATGATGTGGAAAAGCATTTTTGTTATTTGTCTAGCAGTCGGTAAGTTGTAGGCTCATTATTAGATAATATATGAGTATAAATTATATAATATATTTATTAATTAATTTACGAGTAAGTTATATACTGTCCCTTTAAACTGCCTTCCCCATCCAGTTTGTAGGAGAAAATAAGTGTTATTTTTTATATTTTCCTTTCAATTTTCATATTTTCTTCTTTTTTGGACTTCAGCGAACATTTTAATGAATGAATTACCCAAATTGGTCTAGCATTTCTCGAGTTTTGCGCTTAGCAACAGATTTGGTGGTACAGTTTATTTATAGATAACATTTTAACGGACTTAAAATGTATTATTAATTTTAGACATCTTTATGGGTATGTAATATTTTTTGAAGCTTTATAAACTTTAAGTTTTGTAAGGATTTGTTGACTTGACAGCTGTTAACACCCATCAAACCGCGCTAGGCCTGCTTTGGTGCGTTCTGCCTGTTTGTTTACATAAGGAAGGACTTTGCCTCAGCAGAGAGGACATAAGCTGATAATAATTCTTTTTTAATTGATTAGTTGTCAATTTTCATTTCATTACAATTTACATTTACTCGGTTTTCTTTGGTTTTTATTTGGTTTTCTTCTTATTTTTCTTAAATATATTGTTTAAAGTCTAACATAGGAATACTAACAATCGGTTTCTGAATTGAGAAAAGGAAAAAATATCAACTGATTAAACTCAAAAACGTATGTTTTTACGTTTCACATGTTGAAAACTCCTAGTTTTATGAAAACATATTTAAGTTTCAAACATTCCTAACTTTCAACTCTCAATTTAGAGACCGGGTGTAAATAAAGTTTAGTTTATATTATTTTTATAATATTTATAACTTAAGCGTAATATTTTTGATTCAGTTGCAAAAAATGCATCATAAGTAATACAGTTATATAATGAAGACAATGAAGTCATTTAATTTTCAACTCTGTGACTTAACACTTAAGTCTATATGTACTTTATATAAGTACGAGCTCTAAAATGGTAACAGAACCCCTCTTCCTGTGCACGAGCCCATTTACCAATTGAACGTTATCAACTGGATCGGGTAGCCGGCAGGTCAGACACTTCTGTCTGTATATTGATGCAAATGACAATAAAGACCTTACTAATAAGCGACGTATAAGCATTGAATATATGGATGTGGATTGTAATACAGTATTCTGTCTCTTTCGCACCAACTGAGAGTCACGTTTTTTAAAAAACAAAGTAAAAAACCGGCCAAGTGGAAAAGGTCCGTACCATTATTAATTAATTAAAAATCACGTTTGTTGTTTTCTTCGATGTTCGAAATTTTCAAGTTAAATACAATAATATTACTAATAAACGTGTATCATCAATTTAAGTGTAATAGTTTTCCTTTTAACTTCGTTATATATAGGTACTATTGCCGTAACTTTTGAATTTTTAACAACAACCGTTTAGTTGGGGACACTTTACTCTAACGAAAATTAGATATATAGAATACACTTTATTGTACACACACATAACACTTACAATTTCAATTGTAGAAAGGAGACGTATATATGGTTGCTTTATCACTAAAAGTGATTTCTTCCAAGTGACCTTGGGATGGAGTTAAATTCTAAAATGAGCTAATAATAATGGGGGTAGTGAATGGTATACATATATACTATTTACAGCTATAATCATACTTGTTATTAAAAAAAATCTTTTTTTTACAAATTTTACTTTACCACTTTGACGGCATAATTAACGTGTATACTCATGCCAAATGACAACTTTCTAGTGTCAATAGTTTTTGAGCTAAACCTCGGACGGACGGACAAACACACATGGCGAAACTATAAGGGTTTCTTGTTTACTGCGGAAGACTAAATATGGTAATTGCTATGTTATTGCTTACTAGCTGTTTTCACGCGACTTCATCCGCGTAATTCATTCGCATATGATGTAACGTTCCGCAAGTGGAAGATTTTTTTAAAATCAATCCAATATTTTCAGAGGCTATTCGAAGCATACATTTAAAAATTTAACCATTAACGTTTGATAACGTCCTGCAGTTATCAGTATTTTTTATTAACTAATTTGATAATCGCGACTTGGGTTGGTTGGTTTCTATGTGTGTCTTATGTTGTTTTAAAATAGTAATGATATTTTATACTATACTAACGATGTTATTTATATTAAAGCTGTTTAAAAAACGTATCTAATTTTAAGAATTAACTCAGCTTTTTTTCTCGAATCCGATCAACTAGAGATAAAAGTCAATAATCCGAGAGACATTTTAAGTGTTATTGAGTAAATATAAGAATAATAAAAACGACTTACAAAGTTATAAGCTTTTTTATATACTAAATGGCATTTAAATTTTAAAGGGGCTAATATTAAAGTCGGGCGTTTACCACTAATAACCGACACAAAGCTCTTGTATTTTTTTATAATTTTCTGTTTAAGTTATAAACTGACATCATATCAAATTTTATTCCGACATTAAACTCGTAAAAAATGTGTCTTGTATTCTTGGTCTAAAATGTCGCTTGAACGAGTTGGTCTCCTCATTTTCTCTATATTATTTTAACAAGATACTTACTACTATTATAAGAACATTACATAATTATTTATGTCTTTCTTTGTCCGTGTATTCTTAATGATAAAGAGTTCAAATGGAAATGTTTACTTGGATTAGATAAATAGGTCACATAAGTCAAATGAACTCATCAATAAACGTTTCTAATTGTTTTGTTGTCGTTAATAGGAATCGAGATAATTAATTGTATTCTGAGTTAAAGTCGACGACCGTATTGTAAATGAATACAGGAAAATGATAATGTGCTATCTTATGAGACGAACTATGTATGGTATTCAGTTAAAAACCCGAACCGAAATCGTAGCATTGAGCAGCGCCTGTTACAGCATAGTGTTTCAATGAAATAAAAACTTTTATAATTATTGATAGATTGATTAATAATTTATTTCACTAGAAACAAACACATAAAACAAAAAGAAATTAACATATATGCAAAAGGCGGACTTATTGCTAGGGTAGCAATTTCTAACAGAAACGATACCAACCAAGATCAAATATAACGGATTAGTGCATTAAATTAATAAATATACTTAACGAGAAAAAGAGAGGAAAAAAAGGAACAGATTAATGGAGAGACAAAGTACTAAAATGAAAAAAGATCCAGATTGAAGAAATAGTCCTTAACTTGTTTCACGAACGAATCCCGAGACTGCGCACGTCTAATAACCACAGGCAAAGAGGGTTTCAAAAATGAACAGGAATGATGATAGGCCTCGCACAGTCGTAGTAAAACTGCGGTCTCCTCGCCATTGCGACATAATTCTTGCTGCTGTTGCAAAATACAACAAGAATCATCCTCATGACAAACTGAACACTCAGCAGCTTGGATTTGGTAACACGTGTGGTCCTGTTTTTGTCAGCGAACACTTATCACCAGTGAATATAGCCCTACATGCTGCTACGCGGATACGAGCTAAAGAATTTAGTTACACGTTTACGAGGGTGCGGAATGGACGAACCTTTGTAAGGAAAGACGAATTTAGCAAGGCCAAGCTTATACGCAATCATGAAAATCTGTTTAATATAATAAAGTAGCTTCTTACTATGCCTTCAACGAATGTAATGGAGTATTGTCGTTGAATTCAATATCTATTATCAGAATGTCCATGGCCTCCGCACCAAAGTAAGTGATGTACATACTAATATCCTTCTCTCTGATTACAAAATAATAGTTTTCACAGAAACATGGCTAAATTAAAACATCTCCAATAGCGAGCTTATAGAATCCCGATATAATGTATATCGTCGCGACAGAATTTGTTCCTTTAACTCCAAGATGGACAAAGGAGGTGTACTTATTGCTGTGTCACGTGAATTTTCATCTTTCCGTATCCAAAACTCGGAATCTAATTGCGAGGATCTCTGGGTTAATGTAATTGTTGATATCAATGGAAAACAAAGCATTTGCTGACTACTTAAAAATATACAAGAACATTAATGATATATCAATTTGCGCAGTGACACAACAAATGTTTTTGGAGAACTCTGATAGAGTGATGTGCCACACTGATTCTGTGATCATAGTGAGTGATTTTAATCTCAACTTCATAAATTAGAAATGTAATAAAAATAAAGCTCATTTAACACCGACAAATTATGATAAGCCTTTGGGGTATTCTCTTGTTGATTTCATGGCTCTTAATGAATTATATCAGTACAATAATGTTTTGAATGAATCCAAAAGAATTCTAGACTAAGCCTTGAGTAATATACAAAATATACATGTATCAAATCCATTCGATATTTTAAGCAAGCTTGATACTCATCATGTTAACAATTCCTCTTACTATAAATTACTGCCATGCACTTTAACCTAAACCCAGTGAAGCGTTTAACTTTTTTAATGCTGATTACGACTCCATCAGAGAAGCACTTTTCAATGTTGCCTGGTTAAAATTATTTAAAGGTATTGAAGATATCAACCAATCAGTTTCAATCTTTTATAATATCCTATATTCACTCATTGAAAATTTGTTCCTAAGCGCAAAAATATCTTTTCGTTCAGCAAATCACTAATAAAACTTTTAAATGAAAAAACAGAATTAGAAAAAGGCTTCTTAAATATAAAAAAAACCCCGAGACAAAATTGAATTTAACCTACTTCGCGAGCGTTGCCATAAATTCCAACATTTGTAAAAATCCCATTTTTTCTGGCGTTAAATTAAAGATAAACGTAAGGGGCGGTCCTCTATCCCAGTTAGCATGATCAAAGATGAAAGCATAGCAACATCAGGCCAAGGCGTTGCAAACTTATTTGCTTTTACTTATTTGATTTTATAAGTAACCTTCAATTCACTGAAAATGACATCATGAAAACAATAAAACGCCTCGACATACATAAAAGTTCTGGTCCTGACAATATTCCGCCATTATTTGTGAAACGTTGTGATTGTGCTCTCACAATACTTCTAATGATGTTATTCAATAACTCTTTGAGCAAAGGCGTATTTCCAGTTGTGTGGAAGAGAGCAAGGATAGTACCTATTCACAAGAAAGGTGATCAAACATTTGTTGAAAATTATCGACCCATTTCCATTTTATCTTCATTTTCTTAAATATTTGAAACTTTGGTTTATCCGCACATTTACAGTCTAGTAGATAATAAGTTGTCCCTCTCTAAATTCATGCTTTAGAGAGGGAGATTCGGTAGACACAAAGGTTGATACTATATACACTGACTTTAGTAATGCCTTTGACAATGTTAATCATTATATTTTGTCAAATAAGTTAAAGGTCTTCGGAATCGATGGATCATTGTTGTCTTGGTTTAACTCATACTTAGCAAAAGACCTCAGGTAGTATCTGTATCTGGCTATGAGTCCCAGGTATACTACGCACAATCCGGTGTGCCGCAGGGATCTCATTTAGGTTCAGTATTCATTTTAATATTTATTAATGATATTACGACTAACATAAAACATAGTAATATATCACTCTTTGCTGACTTAAAAATATACAAGACAATTAATGATATATCAGATGCAAAATTTAAACTGATCTTGATAACGTTGAGATGGTGCAATATAAATGGCATGACAATGAATCCAAATAAATGTTTTTATATCCGATTTACAAAGAAAAAAAAATGCTATAAACTCTAAATATTCAATGGATGGTACAACTTTATCAAATGTTGAGAAAGTAAAAGATCTTGGAGTTATTTGTATATTGATTCAATTGTTACTTAATCAGCTCAAATACTTGTCTTTCTTCAACGTTCACAAGGATTTATACGGCAGAAAACAAAAATAATTTTGTATAACAGTCTTGTCCAAAGTAGACTTGAATTTGCCTCTGTTGCAAGGAATTCTGTATATGCTAACTCATCACAGAGAATTGAAAGCATTCACGAGACATCTAGCTTTCAGGTCAACCTAATATGCATATATTGTCTAGCTGTAAGCATGCCTTAATAATAATAAATAAATAAAAGAAAATGGAATTTTAGGCTATTTTTATACTAACAAACAGCCACTAACCCGCTTTGGGTCTCGTGGTGGGTCATTTATGATCCATTCTCCCTATCCGAATTTCTACTAGTTTTCGATATGTTTATATAATTTGTCTTCTCATAACAAAACATTTTCTTTATTGAAGGTGTAATTGCCGAATTAGAGGTGAGCGAAGACCAACGACAGACCATTAAGAATGCTATCAGGGAGCAGTGCAAAAAGAACGGAGCTGAAAATAAAGTGGAAGAAATAGAGGTAAGGCACAGGTTGTAATTACAGCTATTACCCACTTCAGGGGTGCGACCGCTTAACTCATTAGCTATTATTACTCTAGCCATAGGATACGATATTATAGCGAACATTCCCATATTTATTCTTTTTGTATAGGTTAAGGTTTAAGATTCTGAGAATATACAGTGAAATAAGTTCTAATTTAATATTTTGTTGAACAGAATGCTGGTAAGAACTTCGTGGATTGCGTAAAAGGTCTTATCGATATCGAAACAGTTAAACAGGAAATAGAAGAAGCTAAACCTAAAGGAGCTCTCGATGAAGTGTTTGGCAAGTGAGTTTATTGATCATATTTTGAAATTGAGAATGAAACTGGGAACTGTAATATTATGTATGTTTGTACTATTTGCAAGGCCGACCTAGGCGACCTAGGCACTCGTATTTAGGGGGCGGCTTGACTTTCGTTTTGCTCGTATTATTTAAACCCATGAATCCACGTCAGCAAAAATACAATATTTTTGCACTATGTATAGGTTGATAGACCCATGGAGTTTCTTTTGTCATTAGCGAAATTAAAAAATAATGTCCCTTTAATGAATATGTTATTTTATATTAAAATTATAGTTATTTACGGGATTGCTAAGTAGTACTTTATTTTTATCGAGTACCCGATCGATATCTGTTGTAACCAAGGCGAAAAATTAATCTATTTAGTCCGTCTTGAGTAATAGTAAAATATTAGATACGTAATTTTTAACTTAAATTTAACAAGAAGTGGTTTAGATAATATACCATTTATAACACATTAAAATTAAGAAGTAGGGTTCGCTACGTCATGACTATGTAAAAAATGTACAACTGTGTTACGTCACGCGACATTTCGCCTCAATATATCGCCGTAATTTAGTGATTACGCAAAAATTAAAAAAGATATATGTTTAATATGCTTTAATGCCCGACGGACAGACATCATACTTCACAAAACGTGGTACGAGCATCGAAAGTAATAGAACTTGAAAGGGGGGAAAACCATGAGGACGATATTTTCTTTTATTTCAATTGGGGATTCTAAAGCATGTCGTTTGATTGAATGAGATTTGTGAAGCTCGCTCTTTTCCTCCTCCTCCTAAATCCCGCCCTATTGCACAGACTTTAGTTACTCCGTGATCATGACGCTTGCAACAGTTTAACTACAAACTACAACTTTTTTTTTTTATAGATATTGTGCAAAATCTCCACAATTCAAAACATGCATCCACACAATAGTTGACACAGTAGCGCCGTGCTTGGAAACTAAAATCCAGGAACACGTTGAAACAATCAAAAACGGCACCGATCAACTAATCGACTTTGTCTGTTTCAAGGATGGCGACAGAATCGCACGTGAGTAACTGATTATCCTATCTTCCCACCAGATACACCCAGAGAGGACAGAGGCAGAAAATGTTTTTGACGTTTACGACTTTACTTTAGTACCGGTTTCAATCAAGATGGAAACTTGATGGAAACCGGTAAAGCGTACCTACCGGTAACTATCAAGAACTACAAATATCCATACAAATTAATGTGGATATTTGTAGTTCTTGATAGTTTATAACTTTTTGCTTTTTATTTTCTTTTATCTTTGCTATTAAACCAAACTAAGATTCTCTAGGTTAGGTAACTAAGCTGATACCATACTTGTATAGACAATGATTCGAATAATTAAAGTTCATGGATTGCTTCCTTTTTTACAGTGTTCATCGCTGAAGGTGGCCCAGAGTGCTTCCAGCAGAAGGCAAACGATATTAAAGCCTGTGGGGAGAAACTCAGAGATAGTTTGCCTAACGTGGAGGCAGCGAAGAAGTTAAGCTTAACCGTAAGTTTATCTATAATAACATTATAAAGAGGAAAAATTTGATTGTTTGTTTGCATTGAACAGGTTCTTTAACAACTGGACAGATTTTGAAAATTCGGCCATCTACGTGATTGACATAGACTATAATTAAGGCAGGCAAAGTTGCCGGAAAACATCTAGTGTTAAATATATAACACTAACCACCAATCCGCAATGGGCTCTAGGAGTAGGTAATGGCCTGCCTGAAATAGGTATTTTAGGTTGTTTGGTAAAATCATGTCATGAAACATAAAGCCAGACAAGTTCGTATTAGCTATGTATATTGGATTTATTTTAAACAACCAACTTTATTAAAAAATGTTTCTTGAAAATTTACAAATAATTATTTCTGTACACTTTAGACACGAGTGTAAAGTGGTTATTAGCAAATATTTTTATATTGACTTTCTTGTTAATTTGTTAATAATATTACCTACTAACTTATCGTTATACTACACTCAAAATTGTACGTATAACAAGTAAATAAATTTGTTAAACGGGTGGGCAAGAGATCTCTTCAAGCCAAACAAAGCGTAGTAGCAGAGTAAAATGTAAGCGAGTGACACAGGTCACAAGAAAATTCTAACTTTTATTCAAGTATAGATAAGAGTATTATCGTTCATCATTCTTTCTTCACTTATCGCAGGAGCGATGTGGCAAATTTGATGAATTGACGACGTGCATCGTGAACGAGTTAGAGAAGTGCTCAAATCCTACACCTGGAAATATGGCGGAGTCTTTGTTCCGGTTCGTGCGAAATGGGACACCCTGCAAAACTGAGGCGCCGGTAATTTTAACCACTTTTAAATATAATGACTGGTCGCTTACCAAACTGACTTATCATAAAACGAGAACCAACTCTAGTAGACACCAGTTTTAGCCGTTAACTATCCGAGAGTTACACAAAGCCTAATTAGGTAGGTATACGTTTCAAAGGAGTATACAGGAAATTTACTACATTGGAATTTAGTCATTAAAATCGGCGTTTTTAGGGTACAGAACGACGAGCTTGATGGCGCGGTGATTAGCGCGCTTAGTCTGCGATATGGTTGCTAAGCAGCCTTCGCAATGGTCATAAGATGGGTGACCTAAAATTAATTGTCTCGAGCTCCTACGTGCTTCGGGAGGCACATTAAGCCGTTAGTCCCGGCTGCATCAGCCCTGTGATTGAGCCCTTATGTGTCCGAATTTACATCATTTAGTATAGAAATTCTATTGCTTCCATTTTTTGTATAAAAATACAAAACAAAATTGATCGAATATACGTGTCTCAGATATTCTATTTCTATGTCATTCCGATACTCACTTCACAAACGTTATTACCAATTCAAGATTGAGAGGATTTCGCTTTTTGAAATAAATTCGGACCCCTGAGTGAATTCGAATTTGAGTTTGTATTTACCTATACAGAATCGCAGGGCTTTCATCGACTCCCTCCATAGGAAGTGCCCGAACCAAGTGGGGGCACTTACCCCAATGATAATGTGACACCGTTAAAATACTAGCTTCACAAATTACAAATACATAGTAAAAGAAAAATAAGTGAATAAACAATTATGTAAGATAAATATATATGGTGGGTAGGGTAACGGATGTAAAGTATACTTATTTAAGACCACTGAAAAACGCTTCGAGACTTTTTTGAAAAACTATTTAAGTTAGATTAATCAAAAATTAATATTTGTTTCAGAAAAACTGATCAGCAATCTACTATTAGATCTAAACTACTACATAAGGTATTTAGAAAAATCATTTAATAAAAAATATAAAACACTTTATATGGCGTTTTATTATATTACCTTTGATATACTTGTATATAATAAAATAATATTATCTACCTTTAATAATTTGTAATAATAAGTGCGAGAACATATGTAAGTCAAATTTTTTTCTATCGTTATTTGCGCAGCGCCATCTACCTACTATCATTTCTACGGCCTTACCTATAAGCAATGTTTCTGCGTTGAATGGTTATAGTGTTTTTGTCTTTTTCACTTGAACTGAAAGTCACATTGGAATGACGTGAACAGAGCTATGTGTAACAAAGCAACCGTCTTAACTTTCTTAATAGTAATGGCACTAGTGTGTACAATAATTTTGCATTTGTGACTGATCAGATTAGATACTAGTGTTGGGTTATATTATGTAATTGATGATACTAGGCACACCTATTCGTAGTATCATCTAATACTTGATAATAAATACTTATTTACTAAGCATTAGATATTTCACGAATAATAAAATTAACGGTGTGAACAAACAAGTAAGAACTAAATCAGTACTTACGATTTTACGCAATACTTCAAGCCCCTATTTCTCTATTTTCTACGCTTGCACTTGCCTATCCCTTTTTTTACGTCGAGGTAATGCATCAGGCCCTACCTCTGCCGCCTGACAAGCGACAGTACTCTCCTTCACGAATCCACCTCATACCTGTGGAACTTTACTCCATAGTGTTAAAGAATAAAGTCTAAAATTGAATGGCAATAATGGCGCGAACACGCAAATATGATCATCAAAGCAAACATGATACATCTCTAATGTATTTAAGGTAAGGTAGAAAATAGAGTAATTTGCTGAATTTCATGGTTGAACCAATTATTTAGAAAATTAGTGTATGTCACCTAGTATTTAAAAATTCTTGTTACGTGGATCTAGTCTAGTAATAAGCCCCAGCTCTACTCGATACGTTATATTTGAGTTTTCCTGCTAATGTGAGTGATGACACGTATTCTTAGAATAGTAAATTTGATATACGTATTCGATAAAGTGGTATTACATAGTTGCATCATTAGCTAAGTCCTTATTTGAATTATACCAATGCGGTGGTTCTGAGCCATTATGAAACTTTGGCACTTTGTAACCAGCTACAAATATTAAAAACAGACCTTTGGAAATTGAGACAATAATTTAAGTTTCCTAAAACTTAACTATGTCACAAACATTTCTCAGAGTTGACTTCAACAGACATGATTATTCATTATTCTACTATAAGACAAACACGTTACAAGAGTCACGAACATTTTTTATGATACCACCAGTTAAGAGATAGGGTTGAACTGTCTTCCAACATTTTCTTCCTCGGAAAGGGTTTGTGATAAATACTTCCCAAGCAGCAAAATTATCCTATAGTACAGTTGTTATAGGCCTTCAGCACTTATAACATTCTCTTAACGGTCATAGTATTTACTGCCACGCTTATAGTAGGAAGCATGGAGTCACTTGGGCCTTGTAGTATATCTGATCTTATATATCAACTTATAATCACTTATAGATCAAAATTAAGGATATATTATACGCTTAGGTGCCCTATAAAAGCATGCTGTGGGTGTAAATGTACTCGAGAGTAGATAAACTAGTAAGCTATTCTTATAACTGCTAAAATAACTCATTATAGAACTATTACAAGTAAAGTACGCCAATAAGAGTGCTAAACAAACTGGAAACCATTTGCATTTATTACTTGGTTTTGTATAGGTTTATAAATCCACTATACGCAACAATTATACGTAAAATGGATAAGTTTTATAGTGGTGTAACTTAATATTGTTATAATCACAAACCTATTATAAAGAATTTGATACAAGAATACATTGGCTTATTATGGTCCTGCAAAAGTTGTTATAATCTCAACAAAACTATTTTAATTCTGATAAATCTTTTTCCTTGCCGAAGTGCTATTAACTTCTGTTATCAAATGGATCTGTATAAATAGAAACGGCTAAAAAGAAGTGGTTCATACAAACGAAAAAATCCGAAAACCTATGAACAAATAATTCAGGTGTCCGGTTTTAACTTTGTCTGGCGAAGAAAGTATCGTAGAAATAGGAAATAGTTCCGTACAAAACAATTCTTGTGATAGTTTGAGACAGAACGTTTATATTAATAACTCGTATTTCAATATCGTTTATATCAATTCATCCCTTGAATTATCAAGTGAGGAATCTGTCAAAAGATGAAAGCGATATTGAAGACTATTCTTCTCGTAATTTTGAACTACATAGTGATTTTAGAAAATGGGCTGTTTTTCTAAAATCACTGGGTCTACACCCAAGAACATTATATTGAAATACGTGGTAATGCTATTGTACAAGCACAAGATGCATTCGATCAATTAATAAAATCATTGTTTCTTAATATATATCAATGCAATTTTAATGAAATCAACAACAATAGAAAGGAAAAGGTCTTTAAAATTTCAAACATAAAATATAAGCTTGCGAGTATTCTGTATGGTTCAAATATATCAAAATTTACCAGTTCAAATATACCAGAATTATATAAATATTTGACAACAATTTTTGATAATAATTGACTGATTGGTTAATTCTATTAGTAGTTAAAAATAATTCCATTAGTAGTTGTAAATAGGTCAGAAGTTAACAAAAATAAACAAAATATTGATTTTTGCTAATGAATTTTTATTCAAGGTAAATTCAAAATTTTCCCTCTTACGTCAGATTTGCTACCTTACTTTGACACAATAATTTATTCCCAAGGCCACCTTGATGTTTTCAAAGCTCGAAATCGCTTTTAGTCAAAAAGCGATCGATGTTCAAAAACACTACCTTGCTAAATGTTTATTCTAAACAAAAATATTAAAAGAATCATGCCAGTTATAAAAATATTTGTTGAACCCTGATTCCAAAAAAATATGGCCAAGCAACGGTTCTAATGTCTGCCCTTTTTAGACAAAGTACGCCTAAAATGGTTTTTTAATGTATTTGGAAAAACCATCTGTCAAGATGGCGACTTTTCGTTGTATGGTCTTACTGAAACCGACATTATTTCGAAATCTAACTTATTAAAAACGCTTCTTCTGAGAGGCGCGTAAAAATTTTAATAGAAAACTTGTTATACTTCACCGAAAATATACATGCGCAAGCCATTACTTATTGTTAAGTAACTCTTTACTTATAATTAATATTTTGGATATTAATTAAAATTAGAAATGGATGAAAAGTTACCATTATCAATATAAATATGTGCAGCAACATTTGCCAATTCACAACACTTTGAATGGTTCTGTAAGAGATTTTTTACTGCCGTATTTGGTTCCATTAAGCGCTGATAGTTAACTTCGCAGGAGCAAATAGTTCTATGTAGACTAACTATAGGGTCGTTACTGAACAAAGTAGTATTCACCAAGTCCATTATAGATATTGAATTAGAGCAAATACGCCTGTAAAATGGGCCCTTTTCCGTGGTTATAATTGCTTACTATTCCATTATAGTCCTGATGAAATTGTGGTTCCAGAATGATTACTAGACCACATTTTGCTGCTTGGGTTATAATAATAATTATGAATAAAACACTGAAATAATACTTTATTCATTTATTTGTTCTAAAAATCAATCTGTAGACGAATTACACGGGTAAATGTTTATAAATGAATAAAATTAAAATTTGCTATGTACTTATTTACTTATCTGCTTTTAACGTATAACAAACTGTTTGTCTAAAATTGACGGCTCAAAGTTATGATAATATAAACAAAAAACATCATGACAAATACCTTAAAAATAAAATCACAACTTTTTTATTTATGTAAAAAATATAAGAAATAAAGCCATATTCTGGAATTAACTAGTGATATGGTATAATTGGTAATAAATTGAACCGATGTTCGTATAACATTATTTAAAAAATATATTGTTTGAGCAGACTTGGATCAGTAATTATTCACTTGCTTTTTTAGTTGCTTTATAAAGTCAACTGGACAGCCATTCAAAACTTACAAATAGTGCGGCAGTAGAGAATAATATAACTAATACTAAAAAGCTCTACTATATTTACCACGATCTCTTAAATTAACACAGCAAAGATTATGGAGAAACAAATCAGTTTGGTCTAATTTACATTCAAAGAATTTACCACAAACTATTTGACTTTACAATATATTAAGGTTAAAAACGCCCTTTCTTCGTGGCAACTGACAATTATGCAAGTTAGAGCAGAAACAGAAAACAGTCCACGATATATTGTTTATTTGAAGAGTAATGAACTCGATTTGACGGAAGATCGGTCAAGCGTTTCAAGAATGTATGAGTTATTAGGCAACAGTGCCTAAGCTTGTATGAATATCAATATTTGTCAGTTTTGACGTACCGCAGCTGATGATCCGTCAGAATATATGGATCATATAATATAGAGGATTATTTATAAAACGCAAATAATCTGCAGCAACAGAAAAAAAATTAAATAACTCTACCTACACGCATCTAGGATTTTCACACAGTGCGCGTAGTATCTTTTCAGCCTTTCGTTAACGAATAAAATATAGGCCTAAAAATAGTTTTGGTTCAAAGAATTGTTTCGGGTTAAACTTTTAGATCAAATGTTGTTTGCGATTTTAGCTATCAAGTCTTGCGAGGTAACCCTGTATAACGCTAATTGATTCATACAACACTAAATTATTGGACAAAACAATTAAATATTACTATAAAGTTTTATGATCATTATATAATATATGCTTTTAGCATGGTATACCTCTATGGTCTCCTTCGATTGATGCGTTTGGACGTGAATGGAAATTTATGAATATATTCACTTACACAAAAACGACGGACTCGCAGTAATCGAGGGAATGTAAATATCACAAAGGGATAATAGATTAATAGATTTTTTGCAGGAAACAGATTCTGTCTTTCAAGGAATGAATTATAAATATCAGAAAAAACGCTGTAATAAACTTGGGTATTACTATTATCATTAATCCTTTCATCCTTACACGTATACTAAATTTGGAGAACTTTAATTGGCTTTTTATTTTTCTATAAGTTTTATATTATTCTTCCAATGTAATCTGTTATTAACAGTTTATTTGTACAGTTGCGTGGTTAGCTCCAGTTCGCATAATAAATCTAATCTAATTCATAATACATTTTAGTGGGAAAAAAATCTAATACCATTCACATTAATCATCGTTACATATGTAAGTCCGCCTTTCTACTGACACATTAAAACTATGGACAGCATTAATTTTTCACTTTGTTACGCAACGAATTAACTAATTAAGAGAGTATTTTCAATGTATAATTTACTTTTATTACAGCGGTATTTTTGGCATGGATATTGGCATATATTTTTATGGATATTCCTATAGATATGTTACCGTTAATAAAATATTTTCTGTGTATAAAATGTTACAAAATTCAATCTTAAACATATTAATTTATGATAAAGTTGAATGACGTTTTTACACTATAGTTACTATATTTTAATGTTGGCAATACTTTAGTATTCTGTTTTGGTCTTTACACGAATATATTGATAAACTTTCACCATTGATATGTAACTACATTCTAAAAGTATTATCAAAGCTTTCTTATTCTAATTCGAAGCACAAGTTTACTTATTATAATACCGCTAAATATAGAGGGCTATGCCCGCATTGTACTCGAAAAGCTCACCGATATAACGATAAAGGTAGATAGGTAACTATTTTAATAACACATCTAAAAGCTCCAGTACAATTTCTATGACTAACAGTTTTGGAAATTAGGCGACGTCGTTGCAAAATTACTTAGTTTAGTTATTCTAGCAAATTATTTTAATGGAAAAAGTATATCTAGACTTTCTTTTCTTAAATGAATGAAAGTTTGTATGTATTCATAATTAAATACAAGTACATGCCTATCGTTATAAAAAAATACATTATACTGTTACTTCATAAACAGAAAATATATAAAAAAAACAAAGATGTTGAGCAATCAACAGTAACGAGATCGGCAATAGTGCTTTGAATGTAAAAAAATTTCATTTAATTCTGATCACAACATGATTTTTAATATAAAAAATATAACTTAAAATGCAAAACCTAGTATTATTTACACATCTATTACTCTGTAAATATTTTTCTCTTCAGCATAAATGACAAATATAACAAATTAGCATTTTAAAAATTAACTACCACTGTTAGAGTACATTTACTCGTTTTAAGATTAATAGAAAAAATAAAAATCACAATTTTCCAAAAGTCACCAAGTGCCATAAATAGAGCTTTAGGATTTGTTATAAAATTGATAATTCATTGAATCATATGTTGATGTGCACGTTACAAATGTAAAATAATAATTATATTGTTGCGATACGTAATTTAAATAAACAGTGAGACGATTGCGAGGACTATTGTGGCCGATGTCACAGCTAGACCGGTGGCTGCACTAGGCTCACTTTTCCTGGACTCCGTCTAAAAAAAAATTTTTTTTTATTCATACCAATTTTCCATGTCAAAATTGACATTCAAGGTTATATTAATTCGCACAAAACTGAAAATTGGGACGACTGTTGAGAACGCAATTCATCCTTGAATATTTTTTTTGGACACGTCGTTTCGATGGGGACTTTTGAAACATTGTTTTTTAAAGTGTTCCCAACATTCATGTAATTTTTAGCTTTGTGCGAATTAAAGTAACCTTAACCCTATTTTTGAAGCTAATTTGACCGGGCTAATTAAAACAAGATTTACGTGGTGAATCACCATCTGCCATAATAAAGCTTATATTTTGACGGAGCCAGTGTCTCCAAGGTAATGTGGAATTAAAAAATCCAGTGAACTCACCGACATATCGGCGCATGGCGTTGCTTTACGTATGAACTTAAACATGGACTCGACGATGTTGCTAGTTGTAGGGGTCGGACATTTCTCGAGCGCATCCACCACGCAGGTCTGAAGCTCGGATAACTCGCGGCATTGTTTCTCCTGTTACCATACAGTATTGTTAATAGAGTAGCCCGATAGCGTAGTGTATAAGCGTCGTAACCTACGATCGTTGCTGTAAAGCAACTTTCGCAAGGTTCAGTCACGGGATGGGTGACCAAAAAATTATATCTTCAGCTACTCAGAGCTCCGTAATGGGAAAGTATTAAAAAAAAAAGTTCCCGAAATCAAATTAGATGTCGCTACGGTACGTTCTTGGTTTCTCCATCACAACCCTTCCGGTTTTCTTTCATGTTTAAAATTAAATTAGTTTTCAAAACTCATATATTTGTACTTTTTCGTATTTGAATTGACATCTAAGTTTTGAACTTTTGCAATTTCAGTTTTTTAATATGTTAGTTAAAAGAAACGGAAATGACTGTCTTCGGTCCATTCGTTTCCTGCAAAAATCTAGTTATGCTAGAGTCGCCATCTAGTGGAAGAGCTTTTTTAGTGTTTTCGTTTTTTTTTTTTTTAATTGAGGAAGTATCCTCATTGAGCCGTTAGTCCCGGCTGCATTTGCAATCGTTAATACCTCCAACCGCATTGGATAAGCGTGAAGGGTCATGTCCCATCCTCCTCAACCATTCATAAAGATGGCCTGAGCTCCTGCATTGGGGACGTCAAAGGGCTGTGGATGATTCAGTATTACCATGTATTTGAATACGAGAGCATCATATCATCAAAACGCAAAACTTTCGCAATTTAATTTTCCTGACGAACTATTGAATGCATCACCTCATCATCTGCTTATACCATGCAATTGCTTTACTTGAACTAAATTGTAACTCGGAATTAGATAATATTAGAGAACATCACATAAATTGCTCAGATGAGTAGTTCCCCGTATTATTAAGTATCTGAGACAAAGAATGTACAGCAACATCCAGACCCGAGACTATATAGGAAATTCCATTTTCTACATTGACCCAACCGTCAAAAGAACCTCAGTGCCAACCCAAAAGCACTAACAAAGGACAGCGAGCCAATAGACTGTTCGTGTCGATGAAATGTACAGGAATATGAACAGGACCATGGAAGTAAAATAAGAGTTTTTTTATTATACTTACTCCAAATGAGATATCAGGTATGCTATCAGGTGAGAGATTTTTGGGGTCAATTTGATAATCAGTGCCGAGGGTCTTATTAGCGCAATTATGTAGTTCTTCCTGTTTGCCCTCAAAACATTCCCGTCCACCCTCAGCGATGAATACTGTGAACAAATAACTAAGTAAATAATCTATTCTATTATTGTCTATCCTTATCCTAATAAGTTTATATTACATTTTTTGTATTATAATGTAAACTGGCCCTCAATAAGAGATATATTAACCTCATTATTGATTAAGTTTTTACTCAAATTCAAAAAGTCATTAACCTGGTTTATATACTGTACGAAGTCTAGATAAATAATAAAATATATATAACACTATTTGTGTATCTAGAAATAGAACACTCGTAGAGTTATTAAATATAATTAATTATTTTTATTCGTTGTTCCATTTTGATCATCTGGGTGATATAACCCAAGTAATATTACTTGGGTGTTTAACTTCCACATTTTGTGTATTCAAATCACCCACAAGCAAATCATCTGAGAATCAAAGTCCACAAGATTTCAATTATTATTTTTTGTTTCTTTGATTCGCCACATATTTTGTGATTGTACTTTATTACTTTAGTACTATGTCTTTTTTGTTTAAGTCAAATACGAATTGTTCAGTGCAAGGGCAAATGATAATTTTGAATACTTTGTATGAGATGAATTATGTGTCTTTGATTTATGTACTTGTCTAGATATAGTGTCAGAGCGCGTATACCCCAAAAAATATAGTTGTAACAGTATCCCATATCGAAACTTTTTGCCATTGACCTTCATCATAATTTATTTTTTATTACTAAGTTTTCGTAATTTGAAATTTTAAGTAACGCGATACGGTCTTTCCGAAAGTCAGTTCGTGAAAATTCACCCAGCGAAAACCTGTTATGTACTTTAATCATATAAATTAAATCTAATATAAATCTGTAAAGAAAAATGTAAACGTATATCTAAGAAGTATTTAATGAGTTCTATCTGTTATAAAACCCAGTACAGGGGTATGTAATTTTTTTAACTACTTATACTACTTATCATAATTTTAGAAATTCATACGAACTGTTGTATTCTACATTCTTTTCTTTTACTTTGGTAGCGACACATTCTATGTAAATATCTTCACTTCTGTTAAGAGCTGGCACAGTCTGGTATAGTATACATAAAAATAATCATTGGAGGATTCTTAAGTGCTTGCAATAGCTTATTTGAAGCAGGAACATATTCATTCATTACTGTCATGAAATCAGTCTTAATATTGATGACGCCATTTTGTTTTACATTAACTTTTTTAAAAAATCTAGGAATAAAAACAAATAATATTTCCCAGAAAAACTGTTATATAATGAGTTATAATAAATTATTTAAACATTATATTTATTTTTTTTATCTAGTTTTGTGGAAAATATTTTTAACAAGAGGCAGCGTATGTCTTTAACAACAGTACTCACGCACACTAATTCTCACCTTCACACGAGAATTTCAAACCTAGCCTGTTATTTTTGACAATTGTAGCACAACACTATGCAGACAAGTATAAGATCAAAGTTATGTGTTATACTTAATAATTGAATTCTGAAAATTAAACGAATGAATGTGTACATAATATCTAATTAACTGGAACGTATATAAAAGTGAAGTTTTTTCGTATTATAACAAATTTATATTATTTATTCTTTTTTATAAATTATCATATTGTAACAAATTTAATTTTAGAACTAAGTTTGTTAAACAGGTACAAAATTTTATGAAAATTTGACTGCCTGATAATTGATGAAAATACGCTCTGTAGTAGCGAAAAAAGTAACAAGTACTTGAAAAATTCGTCAGTCCTGTTAGAGCAGTCGCCCCGATTGCGAAAGGTTCGAATCCCATCTCATAATACTAGGGACAAAGAGGATTTTGAAGCATTTTTCATTAAGTATATTTTCCAGTATAGCATTGTGAATGCAAAATTGTTCGCATATGATAAAAATATATGATGTTGATTGCAAATCAATACTGTTATAAATCAATTCAATAAAACTAAACTCACATGCAATCCTATCGCCTTCCTTGAAGCATATGAACTCTGCAACTTGCTCAGTGACGTTATAAACAGTCTTCAGGTTGTCTCGCTCTTTCTGAGTGAAACATGGCTTGACTGCCTCTGTCATATTTTTGAAGCACTTTTTAAAAGATGGAGTTTTCGCACAGTATCTGAAACAAAATCAATTATAAATTAAAAACTTATCGATCCCTTGAATTTTGTCCACTGTCTTTATCTTTACCAGTGGTCCTTAACCTGTGGAAATGAAATGAAAATGTCTTTATTTAAGTAAGGTTGTTTCAAGCACTTTTGAATCGACCAAAAAAAAATTTTTTCCCCTGCCACTTAAAGAAACTTACCAGCTATATATCATAAGTAATGATATTTACATAAATCATGTCATTACCATAATAGTACGTATTATTACAATAATAAATACAAATTATCAAAGTCTGTAGGACATAGGTTGGTACATATCATTTGTCTAATTAAACAAAGCGAATGCTATTAATTCCATACATTGCGGTCCTTAAAATAATCATCAACTTTATAATACTCTTTACTCATAAGTATGTTCTTTACATGAATTTAAAATTTATTTACGGGTAAGTCAATTACATTTTGTGGAGCATTATTGAACATAGCAATGTAAATGCATTGATCCTCTGGTTTTCTGAAGTCTGAAGCTTGGAACGGCAAGTTTATTTTTATTTCTTGTGTTATGATTATGAACACTACTTTTTTTTTGTGAAGGAATCGTAATGTTTTCTTGCGTAGATAATATTTTCATTGATGTATTGAGAGGCAACAGTCAAAATATTTATTTCTTTAAATATTTCTCTGAGAGATTCTCTAGACCGTAAATTATATATAGCGTGGACGACAGCTCTCTTTTGTACAATAAAAATATCTTGAATGCTAGCCGCAGAACCCCACAACAATAGATTATACGTCATTACACAATGAAAATAACTAAAATATACCAATGTAGCTGTTTCAACATTTGTCAAGACTCTAATTTTCTTAACAGCAAATGCTGCACAACTCAGTCTACTTGAAAAATTATCAATATAAGGATCCCATTGCAGTCGGGAATCTAGTGTAATACCAAGGAACTTTGTCGATTCCACCAACTCAACTTTTTCACTATTTACATTTATAAGTGTACTAACATGCTTCACGTTAGGTAACGCAAACTTTATGCATTTCGTTTAATAATGATAGATTTGAATTGAGCTTTAAATTATTATTATCAAACCACTGTAGAACATTGTCGAGAGCATCATTTACATCGGTCCCTGAAAGTATACCAACTGATCCATGGAGTTTATTTATACACACATGATGCTTTATCTACATTTAGGTGTTGCCATGTGTGTACCGGCCTAGAGTAGCACCACCCTTTCTCGTCCGGTGGGTACCATACAATGAGACTAAGTGAATACAGCCATTAGAAGATGGGCAGCAGCGTTTCCTAAGAACTTTGGCCAACTGCGAACGCCAAGTCGCCTGCCAAGCGTGACGCTAATGCAATTTCAAGTTTTCAAAGCGTAAATTCCAAATTAGAGTAGTAAAATTTATTTTCTTAAATATTTATAACTTAATTGTTCATATTTTCCAAACATATAACACATAACTGAAACCTTTATTTTCATTTGTAGGACATAACTAGTAGGTGTTAACAATTGCAGGAAACAAACCGAAACCGGTAATTTTCTTTGTTTCAGACAGTCCATTATACAAGTATAGCAACTCTTAGATAGATGTCTATATATTTATAACTAGATATCAGCCCGCCTCCACTCCTGCGTAGAATTCGGTTATCACCATCGAGCTCATCACGCTTATCACAATGTGTGAAATTATCGCAAATTATTTGAAATTCTACCTAATAGGTATTTTAAAGCACTAAGACTTAAATTCAACTGAAGCTTTACATGAAGATAAACATGTATTCTTACCCTTTAAATACTTCGTCGACTTGTCCATTTGGCTTAGCCGCTTCGATCTCCTCTTGTAACTTTGTGGGGTCAACAAGAGCCTTCAAACAATTCGTTAACTCCTCATAAGCTTTCTGGAAAGAAACATAAATTGGTCAGTTAGTACTATTTTTTTAATATATATCACTTACTGTTGTCCTATCATTAGTTACAAAAATTATGAAATTATTAATAAAAGGGTTTAGCCGGATACGTATGACGAGTCGGCCCCCAAATGGGAATCGATATCGAAACTTATGTTTTAATATAGACTTGATGTTCAAACACGATTTATGTACTTTTCGCGACCGACTTCCGCTTTGACCTTGAGATAGAGAGCAAAATATCCGTATGCTTGACTATTACTGAATGTGATATATCTCTGAAGCTAATTAAGATAAAGAAGTGAAACTAACGCGAGGTGTTAGGTTATATTACAGAGTATATCACATATATTTTTTTATAATTTTTAGAATAAAAAATTACATTAAAAAAAATAAAAAATAAAAAAATCATGTTTTTTTTCTGAGTTCTCTGTGACTTACAATCACGAAATTAATATATGTTATGCTCCTTTGTGTGCTCTATCACCCATAAAAATTGCGTGAAAAAAAAGTTGGTGCAACACAACGAAAAAAAATTATATGTGATTCACGCCTTGTAGTGTGAGTGTATAAACAAACAAGTTCGAACTTGTTATCGCGCTGTTTACTGCATCGTTTGTTTAGCTAAAGTCGCAGTCATCTGTATTACACAAGAAGGCAGTTTGGGACTAAAATTCTGTCATAGGTATTTTGTATCAGCATTTTGAAATTATTAACTATCGCACCAAATCATTATTAAGTAATAATGTCGAGAAAGTGTAAAATTTGTAACAAGTACCTGTGTAAGATTCCTGGTTATAAAAAAATTATAAAGAATGAAGAAGAAGAACTAAAGTGTTTAGTGACTGTTTGAATAAAATCGTAATAGTTAATGATATTTTTTGTAAGAAGTGTCGACTTATCCCATATGTTAACAAAAAAGCTTCTACTTCTAAATGTGCAGCATTTAACTTGGCTGAAATAATGGACGATCAAAATAATCTCTCAGTACAATATGTGAAATCAGCACCTATTATCATCAAAGTAGAAGTAAAATCAAGACATATAAATAGAAAAGTCTATCGAATTTACATTCATTTTATTTCCGAAGGTAATGACTACAATAGTATTCTTCGTTATTGCTGTGATTGCCCCAATGGCAAACGTACAGTGGGATGCTGTTCTCATGTAGCAGCTATTATTTATTATCTATCATATGGATGATATTTGTCCAAAATCGTACGTCCTGCTGAGGTCCTAACTAAGTTATTTGCAACTCAAAGTGTTCCGATTGTAATTAATTACAACAGTGACGATGATTAATATTTTGTTTCTTGTATTTTGATAGACACGAAAAAGTAATAATATACACTGGCTGTTTTTTTTTTTCATTTCTTTTTAACTATTATCCCATCTTTTAAGACTATTTACTTATGTTTTAACACAAGCTGATGTGAAATTTCGAAAAAAAAAAATGATGTAATGTGAAAACCTTATAATTCAGGGGTATACCATGAGACAGAAATCACATATAATTTTTTTTCGTTGTGTTGCACCAATTTTTTTTTCACGCAATTTTTATGGGTAATAGAGCACACAAAGAAGCATAACATATATTAATTTCGTGATTGTAAGTCACAGAGAACTCAGAAAAAAAACATAATTTTTTTTATTTTTTATTTTTTTTATGTAATTTTTTATTCTAAAAATTATAAAAAAATATATGTGATATACTCTGTAATGTAACCTAACACCTCGCGTTAGTTTCACTTCTTTATCTTAATTAGCTTCCGAGATATATCACATTCAGTAATAGTCAAGCATACGGATATTTTGCTCTCTATCTCAAGGTCAAAGCGGAAGTCGGTCGCGAAAAGTACATAAATCGTGTTTGAACATCAAGTCGATATTAAAACATAAGTTTCGTTATCGATTCCCATTTGGGGGCTGACTCGTCATACGTATCCGGCTAAACCCTTTCAAAATTAAACTATAAATTAAATGTCCAGGTCGTTAGAAATAAATATTTTTAATCAAAAAAATTATAAACATCCACCAACCCCAGGTACTCCCATCTCAGGACTCCAATCTGGGTGATTGCTCATCACGTATGTTCATCAATATTCAGGCAAACCACCCAAACAGCCAAAAGAAATATTTTTACACATAACTATTTTAAACTTTCGATTAAGATGATTTTTTTTATAACATTATATTTTAAAAATTTTGCTTTCACAATACTATACAGGAAAATAGTCTAAATGAAAAATTATTAAAAAATCCACCAGACCCAGGTACTCTGAGATATCACTCAAACCCACCACCTTTAGCAATCTGGGCGACTGCTCTAACCATTGACCTCAATGACCCAGGACCCAACCCAGGACCCAACGGGACGGACGAATTTTTCAAGCACTTGTTACTTTTTGCAACTAGTGAGCGTATTTCATCAATGTTTAGGCAATCCACCCAAAAAAAAAAAAAAATTCGTCCGTTCTGTTGCCTAAAAATAAATATTTAAGGGGGCTCCCATACAATAAACGTGACTTTTCGCTCGTGTTCAGTACGAAGCCCTTCGTACGCGAGTCCGACTCGCACTCGTCTTATACAACAGAGCGACGCTTAAATCTATAGTCCATTTATTATTTCTACACCTTTGATAATATAACATAAAACATCTTATCCTACTAGCTCTGAAAAGTCAATAGGCATTAATAAATTGTCAACGATGTTTTAATTTCAAGTACCGACGTAGGAGTTTGACATTTTAGGAATGACTGTATGTGTGAATGTATAAATGCAATTGGGGCCACAACTCACTAGTCAGACGTCTTGTCATCTTCCCCCAAATTATGTCCCGAAGCTTGAATTTGATTTTTTTTCCTGTCAATTTCACCCTTATTAGTTGTGCATAAGAAAAAGGACATAAATGACGCATGGTGCTTACTCACGTGCGAACAAATAACCAGAGGGCACGACAAAGTTCAAGCAATATCATATCTAATCAGTTTTGTTACCTAATTGACGGTTAGTAGGGCTACGGGCATACCAATGTTGAGTGCGAATTAAGGTCAAATGACGATTATGTACTGTAATTAACATTTCTGCAATGGATATCGTATTAAAAATTTATTTATAACCGTATAACATAAATAGCATTCCTACCTAAGTTACTTTAACAAAATGATTTGAAAAAAACAAAAGGATTCACGGTAGAAAAATTGACCAATATGAGGGCGTGTACACCAAAACTTTCAATTAGTTTTGTGTCAAAACATACCGATAAAAGTAGCTGTAATTATAAATGAGAATATTAAATCACGTGTCAGGTTTGTATCGTGAACGTGAAGTGAAAAACGTGAATTTATAGTATTTTCTTCATAGAAATTCTTTTCTTCGATTTCGTGCTCTTTTCATAGGAAAAATTAATAAATATGCGACTAACTTTATAATGCAGCATATGCATATTTTTTTGAAAGGTTTGCTATTAATTAATCAAACACATTTTTTACGCACAATCCGCTATCGTCTGTCTCTCCTTATCTATTTCATGGCCGAGCGCAATAAGATAGATAGAGACAGTCTTTTGTCTACGCCCAGCCTTAATTATTGTAGTGCATTACTGAGTTTTACTATAGTTGAACCTTAGCACGAAAAATAATCGAGATCGAATCTAATTTGTCCGTAATCGTATCGTTTACAAACGTAGTTTCTTTGATCAAATACTAACTACCGCGACTTCGCCCGCGCACGTATATTACAGCCTATGCAGAGTATTATTTACTTCCTCTGTACGAGCGTAAAGAAATAGCAGATTTAACTTATTTAAAAAAAAAATAGCAAATAGCATCATTAGCTGTCCGGAATTATTAGAATTAATTGGTCTCCATGTTAACTCCATTTTACTCCGTTTCTACTTCATGTTCCCTTAGTCCGTACCAATTATAGGCAAAACTTTTTTATTTTGAGAACAAGCGCAATGTTCAACATTTTGATTAAGATAAATGTTGATATAGATTTATTTAAAACTTCATTAAACAAAGTTAAAGGCCTTTTATTAGACAAATCTTTTGACCCATAATTTGTTTTTTCTCTAGTCATAAGGAAATGTAAAACAATCTAATATAAAGTTATGCTTAATCTTAAATTTAACCCACTATAATTGTAATTTTGTTGTTTTTAGCTGTCGTCTGTTTCTTATGTTTAATTACCTATAAGTGCAATCTTGTTATTGGCCTTCTATTTATATAATAGATATAATAATTACCTAGCTGTAAGTTTTCCAATGATAATAAAAAAAAAAGATAATACTCTGGCCTATTTCACCCGCGTATAATGCAGCTTCCCATGGATAAGATATTTTTTTCTCTGATATTCCTGTTTTTTTTTTTAAATTTTAGTTATAAATCAATAAAAAACACTCATGTTTCTAATATGAATTGGCACTTTGTTACATACTACAAAATAACTATATCGTATTTTTTCAGAAATTAAGTTTTACGGATCTACATTCGAAATAAAATTTACAAAGCCGAAAGTCAAGGTACTAGATAGACAACTTATTTTTAAATACATTATTTTATATTAAAACAAGAACTTTTAAATATTAATTTGTTTTAAATCAAGATAATATTTCAATGAAAAAAAAAGTGTTTGTATTCTGTAAATTGTCACAAAATACTTACCTTTAACTTTAATCTAGTTATCATTGTAACACAATGGTAATTCGAAACCATAAGTGTTATTACCATTTCCTCAAGGTAAATATAAGGTCAATTATTTACCTAATACTGACGTCCTGTTTATTTAATATATCTACTTATCAATTCAATACCAGCAAAATAAATGAATCAATAATTAAGACATTTATGAAGATTATCTGATAAAATATACAGAATACGTAATAAGTTTCGGACGAAATTAAGTCACAATAATCTTAGTAATGATATTCTTCTTTTCTATCTTATTCATAATTCATATTGAGAAGTTATTAATTCTTACTGTTTTCTACA